TTAAAAGTACTTATTCATAAAATATTTCAAAAAAAAAAAAAAAAAAATTCAAAATTTCCGGGCCGACCCGGAACCGGCCCGAACCGGCGGGCCGACCCGGCCCGCTGAACCGCCCATACTACAGGCCGGTTCCAGTTCTGGAAAATGTGAACCGTGAACCGGTTTGAACCGGCCTGGAACCGGCCCGAACCGGCCCGTGGCCGTGTCTAAGCGACAATAGAAATAGGATAATATATATTATCCCACGTGGTCAAGTACGGCCCGTGAGGACTCATAGGAGAGTAGTATAAATACTTTTTTTCATGTTTGTAAAAAGGGAGGTGAAAAAAATAGAAAAGAAAACAACAAGTACTCTCTCAAGATTTATTTTTGAATAATAAAAGCATTCTCCTCTTTAGGCCTAATGAAAGCCATAATTATATAGGTAATCTTTTACTCCATGCTTTTAAAAGATTTATATAATTTTAGGGTCAATTAGACTTATCATCACCCCTAAGACGGGAGGAGTCCTCTATGCCAGCAACCCCGCCAGTATGAGTGGCTTCGAGAGGCGAAGCTTAAGGGACGCTGTTGTCTCTTACAATGGAGGAGGTTCAAAGGATAGTCGACCAGACAATAAAGCAAGACCGTGGTGGTAGGAAATCTGTTAAGCCTCGCCTTCTCTGAAGTTCGATGAGGGCAGCAGTAATTCCGAGGTTGAGGCAAGCGGAAAACTCCTTGGTGGACTCTCCACCTTTTCCCGCGGTACAAGAAAGAGGAAACAAGTTTTATGCAAGGTTGTAAAATGCGGGAATTGGACCGAGTTGGTTAGGCACCGCCTCACGATTAATCGGTGCGGCGGTGATTCATCGGAAATAAATCGATTTTTTTAAACTTAATGTAATATATATATATATATATATATATATATATATATATATATATATATATATATATTTTACATATCATAAACACAAAATAAAAATTTAATAATAATAAGATCATAATATAATAAAAATCCTTTAAAAAAACAAAAATCTTGTGCATCCAGAATTAAACTTGAACATTGCAAATATATATTAGTAGGTCCTTTAAAAATTAAAATTAAAATTAACAAAATAAAACAAAGCATAAACTCATTTGTTTTTTTTATTATAAGTCCAACTATTTTCTATTAAAAAAAAAACTGATTTTTGACTGATTTTTGCCACCTAAATTTGACCCGCCTCTAAGGTTTGATTGCCTCGGACCGCCTCACAGGCAAAATCCAATTTTTCAAACCTTTATACTAAAATCGTAAAGGTTTTAGACCGCCTCCGCATCGGAGACCGATTAATCGGCCGCCTCGACCGATTTTTGAACAATGGTTTTATGTGAAGAGAATACATATTTACATAGTGTCCTTTTAGATTTCGGTGGTGTTTGCAAAAGCTTATTAAAAAATAGAAGTTAATGATTGTGAGTTAAGTGAGTATTAGGTGGTTATTTCTAAATATTTTGGGTGTGTGCAAATATTCTGAAAATTAAACTTAAATAGAAAAAACAGGTCTAGGAGTACTTTTAAAACAATAGCTTAAAATAACTTATTTTTAGAGAAACAATAACAAAAATTGATTTTGCTAACATCTAAAAACATATTATGAAAAAAAAGCTCACAAGTTGTTTCTAAAAGCTTTTCCAACACCACCTTCATCATTTATGTGCTTTGCAAGTTATTGTATTGAGTGAATTATTAAAAAAAAAAAAAAAACAATATGCGTCCTAAAACCCATGTTCGTATTTATTTTTACTCATACTTAATGATATATTTTTATGTTTCTTATAGTTCTTTTCTCATTCCATTTTCTTCCCCTGGCCAAATATGTTGCATGCAAGAACAATCTACGGTAGTTTACTTATGGCAGCGACTATATGCAATACTAATTTCAATCGTGCAAGACCAAATTAAAGAAATATTCTAAAAGATTCAATTTTGTTAAGATAAAACGACAAATATACCCATAAATTAAATTGGCTTTTGTAAGTTCATGCAAGACCAAATAACAAGTAATGCAAAATAAAAAATTACAAGAAAACGTAAAAAAAAAGGAGAAAACCCACCCCCGTGAAACCCTTCCCCGTCGCCATACCTGCGCCGCCGCAAACTCCTCGCCGACCGCCGCTGACAACCATGAGCGACCTAAACCCGCCCAACAACGCCGCCGCCGCCGCAGGTATTTTTCCACTTTGATTGAAATTTTCGAAAAGAGTTGTTTAAATTCGATAAATCCGTAGTTTTATTTTGTAAAAATGACATTAAGAAGCTTATGTTGATGAATTGTTGTTTGGAGGGCAAATTTTTTATTTGTTTTGATTCATATTCATTCGACCTGCAAATGTCGTTTTTGAAAGAAAAAATTCGACATTTGCAGGTCGAATTTGGCTCTTTATTTCGACACATGACGATTTTTATTATTGTTTCTCGACATATTGAAGATGTCGATTTCTGACCATAAAAATCGACGCCAATATGTCGTTTTTTATGGTAAGGAATCGACATTTTCAAGATGCCAAAATTTAACTTTTTGATTTTTTTTTTAAATGTCATTGCTGTTGATTTTTTTGTAGAGGATGCTCGTATACGACAAACTGTTTCTAAGCAAAAGAGGAAATCCACAGTCCGTCCTCCTCATGCTCCCCCCCTCCCGCGCCATCGTACCCGAGGCACTAGTTCTTAGAACGTATAAATCGAAGAAGAAGAAGAATATATGATTTATGTTTGATTTTTAGGATTTTGTGGATTTATGTTACATTTTCTAGACTTGTGTTGATTTCGTAGGATTTTGGTAGATTATTGATTTTGTGGATTTTTATGGAATTTTTTATGGATTTTTGAAATATTGATGGATGTGCACTTATAGAATGAACTCTATATACGAACGCTGTATTATGAAATACGCACGCTCACACATAAGCACCATATATGGTCTTCTACGTCTATTGAGTCCATGATTTGATGACTTGATTGTAAAGACCATTCTGAGACATCTACCCACTTCTCTCACCCACTTCAGCAATTCATCCCTTGTTGCAAATGTATCGTTGTTGATAAATTCACTAGAGTAGTCAATTGTTAATTCCTCATTTTGTTCAATCTACAAAAAGTGATAAAAAAAATAAATTTGAAACTGGTAAAAATTGACACCAAGGTGTCGAAAAACCATGCTAGAAATCGATACTTAAGCGTCGAAAAAAAGACCCAAATTCGACCTCGAGAGTATGTCGAATTTGGTAGGTACAAATCGACACCATAATGTCGAATTTATAGCACAAAATTCGACATTGTGAAATTTCGAATTTTCTACTACAAAATCGACATCTCAATGTCGATTTTTACCTATCAAATTCGACGTGCACATGTTGACCGCGTCTGCGCGGTTTTTTTTTTGAAAAACGATATTCTAGCTAAAAAACACATAAATGCATACCTTCTTGGGTTCTTCCACCGTAGAATCTTCCATTTTGATGTCTTATGATTCCATACTTGCCATATTTGTAAGATTTGTTGAGTTTTGAGGATTTCGAATGTTTAGCTTTTAGGGATTTATGGAGGAGGAAGGAATTTTTTTTTGTAGATTTGGAAGATAGAGAAGATGAGAGATAGTCTTCTGATTAGGTGATATAATTTTTGTGGTTTTTAGTTTTTTGTATTACATATTTAAAATTTTTATTTTATTAACAAGTAAGCGTATTATAGTATTTAACATTAAAAAATTTAATTTTAATTTGATCTGCCCAATGAAATTAGGGGGCAACTATTTTGAATACTAATTTTTGCTTAGTTGAATACTACCTAGTTGAAAACCACAATTGAGTACATATTTATAAGTTTTTTCTTACTTTAATACCAAAATAAAAATAAAAGTACAAAAATACCCTTTCATACAAAATACTAATTACATCAATTTTTCTTTGAAATTACCTACTTGAAAACCAAATAAAAAAAAAGAAAAAAGAAATTCAAACACAAAAAACCTCCCTCCGTCCACGCCGCCCGACGCCGCCGCCGCCGCTCCAACCATCGCCGCCGCCGGACGCCGACGCCAAACACCGCCGAACGCCGCCCAACGCCGCCCAACGTCGCCCAAAGCCGCCGCCGTCGTCGTCTTCGAATAGTAAGTTATAGTTGTTTCGATTTTTTTTTCTTTAATATTTATTTAAGATTTGATTGTTTGATATGGGTAATTAGGATTTGGTTGTTTTAGGTTAGAATGATCGTTAATTAGTAATGGGTGCATCTGATTTCAGTCGATTTGAGCATTGATTTGAGATTCGTGGGTCGGTTCTTCGTTCACCATTTTCGACCTGTATATGTCGATTTTCGATGAATTTTCGACAGGTTGATGTCGAAAATTCATCCAAAATCGACATGTAGATGTCGAAAATGGTGAAATTGTTGTATCAGTTCAAATTCGACAGCTAGCTGTCGAATTTGGAACCGGGAATTTTACA